TACAGTAAATATCCACACCGGTGCGGTGACTGACTGCCACACATACTCTTCAGAACATTAGATTCATCCGCGCTGGCGCTGTGCCGACTCACAACCCACGCAAGCAAGATAATTCCGCACATAGCTGCAATGCCAGGTTTTCAAACAGAGATGGCGACAAAGAGGCAAAACTTACGGACTGCAGCTTTAAGGCCCTGTCCCAAATGGAACACTTCATGTGCACTTGCGGTCTTAAGGACTTACAATGGCCGCCGCGTGCGCGTGTCCGTTAAGTCCACTAGACCTTAGAGTGTCCCATTCGTCATTTTAGCGTTCAGAAGGGTGCTCGCGAGCGCCCCCTTTGCGGCCGTTATGCGCCCTCGATCCGCACTTCTACCAGACTTCTACCCGACAGTCAAAGCGGCATTACATCACGAAAGTGCGGACTCAGAGGAAGACCGCAAGGGTTTAGGGTGCCATTTGGGACAGGGCCTAAGTTCATTCATAAATCCATTCACGTGTATGCAGTGCACGTTATGTGAATTTGGTTATCAGTAATGTAAGCACAGACCAGTTAAGACAAAAGGCTGTATAACACTGGAACTGAAACAAATAAATAAATAAAGCTTCGAAGACGTTTGATTAAATTCTGATTTTGATTTAGATAAATCATTAACAAGGTTTTTTAGGCCTATTTATACTATTTTACAAGGTACATATTTGTACCTTATTTATCTCTAAATGATATATCAGTACCTTATTAGTACATTTTGAAAGGGTGGCAGTTTTGTACCTTGTTTTCTTGAAGGTGAACAGAAAATAAAAATGATGCAAAAAAATATATATAAATAAATAAAATATGTATGTATAGAAAAAGAAAAAACAAATCTAATATGATCACAAACTTATGTTAATTTTCACTAGAACTTTAAATTCTTTCACTTACTGAAATTGATACTTATTAGAACTAATAGATCTATCACTGGACTGATCAATCAAACTTAATTGAGACTTTTCAGCATTCTTATCATCTTGGCAATAACGATGTTCAATTCTTTGTTTTGCAAGTTTTGTGAGGTGTAGGTGGTATAGGGGTTTTCATAACTCATGTATAACTAAGGATATAAGGAAACATTTTATCTAGAGTTTCAGTGTGGTTCAAAATTATCTCACCCCCATATCATTCATCCTTGCCAAAAATAGCATTACAGCTTAAACAGCTATAAGTATATATACTTATAGATATCTATAAATATTTTATGGCAGAGTATTAAAATAATGTTGGAGGCAAGTTGAACCATGTTTAGGAGAAGAAATGCTGTGAAATACTTACTGAAATAATCATTTCATCAATCAAGTAATGAGTGATTGTGAAACTCAGTTGCGGATATATTTTCTTTCCTTCACTCTCTAGCCGAGTTTGAGATTACTGTTCCCAGAGACACTGTCACTGGGTTTTACAGTGAGGAACTGATCCTCCCCTGCATGTTTCCTGTGGACAGTTCATGGGATCTGAGAAGCACTGTTATTACCTGGCAGCGTGGACTGGATGTTGTTCACAGTTTCTACTACAGCCAGGACCAGCTCGACCGTCAAAATCTGCATTACGTCAAACGCACCAGTCTGTTCAGTCAGGAGATGACACAGGGGAACGCATCACTCAAACTGGACAAAATCACTCTTCAGGATGCTGGTGTTTACACTTGCTCCGTCAGCACAAACACTGGCAGCCAGAAGAAGAGCTTTGGAGTGAAAATTGCAGGTAACAAAGCAACATGTACTGATGTTCATAGAAAATCATGTGAATACATTTCAGGGTCTTACAATGTGACTGAAAATGCCCTGTGTTTTAATGCCTGCTTTGTTGTGTTTTTCAGCATTCTACTCTGAACCTCGTCTGCAGTTCTCATTGTTAAATGATGGAGTGAATCTGCTAGTGACTTCAGATGGGGGTTACCCTTCTCCTACACTGCAGTGGCTGATGGAGAACTCAGACATCACTAACCAGACACAAACGCACCTCATGCAGGACATTCATACAGGACTTTATGTTGTGTCTAGTTGGATAAATCTCACTGAAGTCACAAACTCCTCTCTGACGTTCATACTGCACAACAAACCCCTGGGACAAGACATCAGGAGAGAGATCCAGCTCTACTCGGGTAAGGATTTTCAAAAACAAGTTGTTTAAAATTCTCTTGAATCATCAACATTTGTGTCTAAATCTAATTGGCATTTAATTCAATTTCTTTGTACAGATAAGAGTGAGAGGCAAGGAGAGTCAGCATACAGATGCCATGGATGCTTCATATTGATCCCTGTTATTCTGCTGCTGCTGATCGTGATGAGTGTATTGTTTGTGTTCATTACAAAAAGAAGAAGAGAACATACCAAACTAAATGGCTCTACGGAAGTGGGACACTTTTCTGAAATTCAAATTCCTAATATAAAAAGTTCAATATGTCTATGAAGGTTATGTTACAAAACCACTTAAACTAAGTTATATATTATGAAACTTATGAAAGATGTTCTATGATTTGCAAGACAGACATGTTTTTTATATTGAATGAAATATAGTTATAATGTACAGTACACACATTATTTTCTAACCTTGGCAGCTTTTAATAAATAATATAATTCATTAGTGTTACATGACACGGATCCCTTACATTATGTAACATTTCAATTCAACATTTCATCATTGGTGCTAAACAGTCTTTTAACAGACCCAAAATAAATTCTAAATAGAATTTGTCACTCATGACATGTTCTGTGAAGCATTGTTGATTTTCTACATTGCAAAATTGAGATTGAGATCACTTCCATTAGTGTTCCATTTAATATTCATGATTGTGTTGAGTTCATTGCAGTACATTAACAGCATGTTTGCTTCACTATTTATTGAATATGTTTTCTGTTTCTGTAGTTTTTTAGTGTTTTTCTTTTTTTTTTACTGTAAACTACATTGTATTGAGATTTCAATTGGTATGGACTGTGTAAAATCATTAGTGATAGTAATATTCCAAATGTTCTGTTCATGATAGTCATACTTGCACCTGTAATAGGTTTATCTTATTACACTGACAAAACACTGCAGAAAAAAATAAAATACTTGCAAAGTATTTCACCAGTGTTGTTTCACAGATCACGACTGTACATGTACATCTAGCTTTTTTCTTTATAAAAAAATCATGTTGGTTTGTGCTAACGGAAACCAAATCAAATGGAATTGTTCCAGGAATAATGGAAGTACACACAATTAGTTCATTCAAATTTACAACCATTACAAGTCCTGTAGAGATTATCACACACATGAAAAGGTCAGTGTGGGTGAGGAACACAAAATGTCTTTTTATATCCACAACTGATACGATGTTAAAAGGCATTCCACTGAATAATAATATTTTGTCTGACTTTATCCACAAGTCTTGAAATGTCATTGTAGAGGCAGTAGGACCAAACACGTGCCCATGAAGACTCATAATGACATGAACAGCTTCTAAGGATCACAATTAACAGGATGTTCTGATTCAATCATTACCATGGAGACCATGTAACAAAAGGAATTTAATCTCTCTTTTAATATCTTTCAATGCATGCCTTAACAAGAAAATGAATTTCCTGCAATACTGGTTTTAATTATTAAGCATTACATGGTTCTTTGGTTTATTCATCAAAAAACAAACAAAAAATACAGACATTTTCTCACAAGTTCTTAAAATAGAATCACATTCCATCTGAAAAATAATAATCATCTGAGTCTTGTGTAAGGCCTAGTTTTCTCACAATACCCTGCTCTACCAGCTCATCAGATCCAAGTGGAAACTCTGGCTTCTTCTCAAATGGTGAAAATAATGGGAAATTCAAACCTTCCTTTTTATTTTCAGAAGAATTTTCATCTTCCGTTTGCTTTTCCTCTAAGATGAAGGATGGCAGAAACAGAAAAGACTCATCCAGTTGCCTGTCTCTCAATGTTGATTCATCCATATCGGAATGTTGCTCCATGGTTTCATTGACCATAACTGACGTCTTTGTGGAACCTTTGTCCTCCTCAGGGACTTCTCCCACTCTCTGAACTTTCTTCAGTGAGTAACGTGAACCCTTATTCATGTTCTGCATTTTCCTGTCTCCAGACCAGCCCAAGGATGCAATGTCAAGCTGCTCCATAGGTCTAAATCTGGCTTTTCAGATCCCACAATACTCTTACTGATTGCCATAAAAATCTCAACATCCCCATGTTTCTCTTCCTCCATCTCTTTCCTTTCCTCCTCTGTGAGCTCCACTGTGCTGATTTGAGACGTGTGCTGTCTCTTATCATGGTCCTCCTCAGAAGATATCAGTGTAACAGAAGCAACAAAGTCCTTGTGGGTGTAGGACCTCTGGGGCTCTCTGGCCAGTTTGGCTTCAAACCAGATGACATTATCATTTCTATGAACCATGAGAGTGGAGTCCAGAGTTGAGGAAGCCAAAGTTGAGAGAGGAGAAGTCACAGGATCAGAGAAGAGTACTTGATCACTGCTTACGAACCCTGATGCACAGAAAAAAGAGAGCAGAGGTCAAGACCTTTATTTTCTCTGTGACCTTTATTATGCAGCTGAGAGAGAGAGAGCTGTCATTTCCTGTATACTAATTTCACCAAGTTAACCTTAAACCTAAAACCTAACATTTTACTAAATATTAATCCATGTTTTAAAGCTACAACCTTGTACCCATAAACATATAGGAAAAGCTGAATAATCTGAGACCAAAATAGTACAATTAAATGAAGGGAAAAGAAAAGGTCAGTCCATGATATCACCAAAAATAAATTATATTAAAAGATATAATGATTTCACTGGTGTTTGTGCACTAATGACGAAATCTACTTATTAACTTAACTTTAAAATACTATAAATATTTTTTCATTAATTAATATAAAGCTGAATTAAAACATAAATGTTAGTCGGAAAAGTGTAAACTTAGTTCAGTTCGTTTGCCAAGGCAACATTTAGAATTTTTTAAATAGTAAAAATAAATTCAAGCAAAATAGAAATATAAAAAACACTAATAAAATGACAAAATCACATAAAATTACTAATACTAAAATTTAAATAAAGTGAAAATATAAAAATATAAACTAAATTTAAAACAGTACTAAAACTGTACTTTTTTTGCCTTGTAATATACAGTATATTCTTGAACATTTCAACTGTGGAGATCACATGCAGGTTTTTTTGTCTTCCCTTTAATTTGACTTTTTTGTAGCTGATACACCAAATCAACATGGATATAAACAGGTTTTTGGCGTTTGATGCAATCATGTGACATCAAGGTGTTTTTGTATGATTACTACTACTGGATTTATGTTTGATTATTTACTTACCTTCATATGTTATTCGTTTGGTTTTAGTCTGGTTGCAGACTGAATCACAGCAGTCACAGACAGAATCTTGACCAAACACAGAGATCCATCTAACAAATGAAAGTTTTAGTAGAATGGTTGTGGTAAAAGAGGTTTTTCGTGACAGAAAAAGAGTGATTCGTGATCTTTACAATGCTGAGAGACAGATGTTTAGTCTTGTTAACCTTTTTTTCTGTGTGGCTGTAAAAACAAGACTTCTGTATTGGACTAGGGCCTCCACCAGAAACATAGAGCTCACAATGGAGTGCAACCTACAATAAATCACACAGATAATATGATGAATCACACAATGAATGAACGCATCACAACACACAGTACAACACTGTTTTGTCTTCACAAATGTGTCAACGGTGAGAAAAGAATCAAACGTACAAACACACCTGGGCATCATATATAAAAGAATAAAAAAATTACTTGACTTAAAGTAGGATATGGTTTATAAAATATGACGTTTATTCACAGATATTAAAAAAGAATTAAAAATTACTTGACGTTTATTCACAGATATTAAAAAAAGAATAAAAAATTACTTGACTTAAAGTAGGATATCAGTACATTAATTTCTTACCACTGAAGTGTACAGTTTGTGCAGCGGAACTTTCTTTTGATCCGTAAACAAAAACATCTCGCTTAACATCATGTTCTCTTCAGCTAGGCATTTTAAATCCCTCCGAAATGATATTTACTCTCATAAATATATTAATTTCAAGTAATCATTCAATAAAGAGATCGATAAACGAGCGAGTCAGTCAGCCAGTAAAACGAAAAATAACCGTTAAAGGCTTAGTTCACCCAAAAATGAAAATTAGTCCATAAATTACTCACCCTCAAGTCATTCTAGGTGTATATGACTTTCTTCTTTCAGACGAATCCAGTCAGAGTTATATTAAAAATTGTCTTTGATCTTTCAAGCTGTTTAATGGCAGTCAGCGGCTGTTGCAGCGGCTGTTGCAGCGTGGTGAGTCTCGTGAAAATCAACGTTTGTTTAAAGGATCAAAAGAAGCAAAGTTTCCTTACTTTAGCAAAGGAAAACCAGTCTCCTCTTGGCTTATATCGAAATCCTCCGACATTCTTCTTTACAAATCCTTGTTTTGTACTTCTAATTCGTGACCGTTGTTTTGTTTTGATCTCTCCCCTGCGCTTCCGCGTTTGTCACTTCTGAGTGGCGCATGTGCAACGCCGACCTCCATACTTCATCTGCCCGGAACTGCTTCCGTTTACAACAGTGAGCGCAAAATCAGTGGTTCAGTCCCTCAGCGACCAGCACGGATCAGCTCTAGGCATGACGAAGCGGATATCGTCCTCTTTTGGAAGACCAAACAAAGTAGTTTCGCTTTCACAACGAAGCACACAGCGTCTTCATGACATGGCGGCAGCGGCAACAATACTACAGTGAGAATAAAAGTTACGCCTTCTTTCTTTGCGTGAACATTTGGGCGGCGTTATGCAAATCTTCCCACATAGTGAGGTAGATATGTGGGGGCGTGTTAGAACGAGCCGTTTTAGGTAGGCGTGGTTAACTCTTAACTTTTATAAAGAATATCTCTTTGGATTTGAGACTTTAGTCTTTGCAACTTTACAGATCTTCTTTACGCACCAAGAGCTTGTAACACTCCAAAGAGAAAGGAAAAATTGAAATCGCATCATATGACCCCTTTAAAAATAACCATTTGGGAACGTTCTCTGTAAGTTAATTTTAGGTTATTTTAAAAATAAACATTAGGGAACGTTCTGGGAATGTTATTTTATGGTTGCAAAAAAATAACCTAAAAATAACCACCATGCAACGTTCTGGGAACATTATTTTATGGTTACAAAAAATATAACAAGAACGTTCCCCTAACGTTAGTATTTGGTTCCCAATAAATAACCAAAAACTAACGTTAGGGGAACATTCTGCGTTTTCTGGGTCAGGGATTTACACAGGATTTAGCTGTTACCAACGGCCGTGGACTGTGATATGAACCTGAAAGTGTTGTGCCTGTCTCTCCTTCTTTCTGAAGCCTCCTGTTTCAGTGAGTATTTCTGATAAACTAGAATGAAATCTTAAAATAATCATTAAGAAGCCTCTCAAAAAAGTCCAAATTATTCAGCCAATATTTACAGAGGTGTTATATTCATAGAGCTGAAACTATCGCTTATGTAAATGATTATGAAATTGATCTGATATTATCTATTATAAGACTCCATAACAGGGCTAAACAAACATTACTTCTCAAAACAACATAATGAAGTGGTCAAGTGGCTCAGCATGCCCCACTTTAATTTTTTTTCAAAAGACATCCATACTTACAAGTGTATGCAGTAGGGGTGCTCCGATTGATCGGCTACCGATCACTATCGGCCGATAATCACATTGGGATGATTAATCGGCGGTCTTTAAAAGCCCGATCTCAAAAAACGATCTCAAGCTGATGACGCTGCCGTGAGAGGTTTGGCACGACATGCAGCTGCACAGTCTCAGTCTCTGTCTGGCGCTGGTGAAATAATTATAATGCTGAAGGTGAGGTACTCACCTTCATATTTTTTCATTAAATAACTTATAAAGTAATTTGAAAACCTTGTGTGAGACGTAATTTCAGAAACAGCGTGAGTGAATCACCGCGGGCGCTCTCTCTTTCTCTCTCAAAATACGCAATTGGCTTCAAATCACCACACATTGTGTCTGTCTATAAGCCAGCTGCACGCTGCACAGTTGACACAGGAATTGTCACTTGCACAGTCGAGGCAGTGTCACATCGTCACTAAAATTTATAAATTGCATTACTTTTTCATTCTTGCCAGTATTTAACCATTCAGCGCTCGCGCGCTCTCCTGGAGACTGAGCGCTCAAGCACACTGGCAGCGCACACACATAATGCCAAGTTCACACACACTCCGTTTGCAGTGCGTATGCGGTGCATATTTTTTCCGCGCTCATGTTAACGGATTAATAAAGCGTTCACTGCACACGGTTACGGTCCGGTGTTCTGACGATTTGTGCTACCCTGTCAGATTTTGCTACCGCCCATTAAAACAGATGGTAGCATAATTCCATAGCGAAAAGTGCTACCTATCAGATTTTGCTTCCAGCATGATATTAATAAGGTGTGAGGCTTTATTAACATGTACAGCTACCCCAACCCTAAACCTTAACCTACCCTAACAGTAGGATAAATAAAGTGTTGGTAGCATAATCTGATAGGT